TAGAAACAGCATTCAAAATAGTATTTTCAATTGAAAAGTAACTGAATAGTTTTTTTTGCCAGGGCATGTAGCCATAGCAAGCTGCCCTTTAAAGAAACAGCATTGAAAATAACATCGCAACTTTATTAGATATCCCAAGATACCTGCTAACACTTCCAGCCACCCAACACGGACAAACAGTACACCCAAAAAGTGGCGCCTTCTTTTTACACGTACTGCTTGTTCATGCTGAATGATTGGAAGTCTCACAGAGACCTTGGAAAAATAATCAAGTGACAATGCCACTGCCCATGTATGCCTTCTGGTTTTCATGTGAAATTAATTTTAAAATCTTTTATTGACACTCGCTCTCTAAATATCACACTCTCCCCACCCAGAACACATGTGTTCTAATTGCATTTATTGGTTCATTTGGAAGTATCGCGTGCCACCAGAGGTTCTCTTCGCCTCGCGTAAAATAAATATACGAGCGGGAATAAGGCGAAAGATACAGAACCTCTGGCAACCAGGGTACTCTCTAATAAGCAGGACTAAAATAAATTCCTCAAACAGGACTAAAATAAACAATGCCTCGGTGGTATATTACAAATTACTTTATACACATATTACAAAGCATGTATGTGTGTTTTCATTCATTTGTATAATTACTGAAACTACGTAAATTAAAACAACAGATTTTGGTCCTTTATTGAACGAACAAGTTACCCAAATACTAAAGTGATAACACATGTGTTACAAAGCATGTATTTTTATTTATTCATTATCAAAACTACATATTAAATAACAGATTGGAAACAACAGATTTTTGCCTTTTATTTAATACTCTATAGTAATACAGTAATACATGTGTTACAAAGCATGTGTGTACAATGATGATCGAAGATATAATATTTTAGAAGCCAGTGCAGACAAGTATATATGAACCTAAATATTTATATTATATAATTTATATTAAAAATGGAACAGTAGACAAAGAACATCTAACTTTTTAGTATTAACTTTTTAAAGACAAGAAGGGATCGAAGACACAGAAGCCGAAAAAGACTTGAAGGATTCAGATGTAGGTTATTTAGATTTTATTTTTGGGCAAGTACATGCATGTTTTGATCATTTTGTTATTATTGTTATATACAAGACTATCCAAAAGAAGAGACAAACAACAACAGATACAAGTTTTATTGAATAAACAAAAAACTACACTATAGTAATACATGTGTTACAAAGCATGTGTGTTTTATATAACTGAAGCAAAATAATTGTTATACAGAACGCGCAGCCTAAATATAGAACTGCAGGAATAGATGCCCAGTTATACATGTTGAACTAAAAGGCACAACATGTATTTTCAAGGCAATAAAGAGTTAAAGACCTACAGGATTATGTGATTTCATATATGGTTTGCATTTGTTATTTGTATAACCTACAATATGTTCTCTTATAATTTTATCATTACATATTTTATTAACATATTTTTTCACCTAAACTAATTATCCCATGCATGTATAAATTTATATATTTTATCAACCTAAGCATGCAAGCAATCATAATTGGATCAAATGCGATTCAATATATTTATAGAAATCAATTCTCATGCATGTGCATATAATTAAAGGTCCAGATGACCCAATCAATGACCGAATTATAACCGAACCCCTAGCCGAATCACCGAACTAATGAACTCAAAGGTCATAAGGACCAAATTATATGCACAAAAATTCCATCCGATTTGGATAAACCGTTTTATACCGAAGGCGAAACACAGCCGAAATACATTAACCTACAAACTTTTCTGGTGGTCAAAACTATACACGAACTGAGCGCAAACGCGACCGACGCCTCTATGCAACTGAGCTATCATCTTAGACTCTAATCTTCTAACAGAAGACAAGTCTAAGATACTAGTTCAGGATTTCACCAGAGATGATAGTCCAGTATACATATAGAGCACACTCGTCTACCAAACTCTGTATAAGTGAAATCGTATCCTAAACCTAGCATGCACATTGATTGACCACCAGACTAATCAAACCTTACAACATCTTCTTTCTTGTGAATCCGATGGGAGGCAATATTTTCACTATAGTATTTATCACTTTAAAGGATACGCTGGATATATTGCCTTGTCTTTGGCTGCGTTAACTCGGCGGAGCTTCTGTGTCGGCTGGGCGTGTCGGTTACAATATCATCTTAAATTCTTCAATAATTCTTCTTCATTTAGTCTTCTATATATTTTCCACACATTTTGGAAAAAACCCTCTGGGTTTGAGGGATATAATACAACCTGAAAAAAGATTATGAGAAAATAATAAGCTAACCAGATTCATTATCAATACCATGACATTTCATTTTTGTGTTCAATGACAAAATGTTTGTTTTTGCACGACCAGCAAAAAAATATGTTGAAATCACATTGAATGACCAACCTATTGTGTGATATGATTTTTGAACATTGTAAATATAAATATAATCGAAAGAAAAAGCTTTGCCAGATGCAATGCACTTCAGGTCACAAATACATATCATGTGTGTTGCTATTAGGGACGGGCCATTAAAACTCCAAGGATTGGGGGGTAATTACACTGCCCCCCCCCCCCAGAAAAAGAAAGTGCAAAGAAAAATCCCATGCACAGTCAGTATTAATATTCAGGAAAAAAATGGTGCAAGCTATATTCATTTCTGTAAAACATTAAAAGAAAAAAGTTTTTGTTTGCTTGGAGGGGTGTAACTCCTGTGGGGGGGGGGACACCCCCTCAATGTTGTAATATTGCAGTTTTGTCAGGCAATTTTAATGACACACTTTGTCAGGCAAAATGTATGTAACTCAGTGCCCAATCACTAAAAATGACCAATCACTAAAAGTGACAAAAATATTACTGAAAAAATTTTGGGAAAAGAAATATTTTAAAATTAGCAAGACTAGCAACTGAAAAGTCAGTCGGCCAAGACTTTTGCCACGCCCTTTTGGTCAGACAAAACAAGCTCACACGCTCCTCCCCCCTCCCAAGTTATGGTCCTGTTTGCTTGCACGTTTTGGGGGGCAAATGTCACCCACCTTCCTGGGATTTTAAATTGTCCGCCCCTTGTAGTGTTATTTTGAGCATTTTGAATATTTGCAAATAATTATATTGGTGTAATAAAACTATATTGTATTGTTCAGTCATACTTACATCCAATGAGAACAGGTACGGCTTGGGTTTCGGCGTGTAAATTAGCTTAATTCGCTGAAACTCCACCCTAAAATACAAAAAAGCAACGTTAGTTATCTTGGAAGGTTTTTGAAGTATATTTTACAACAAAAACCGTCAGAAATCTGAGCTGGTGTTTTCGCTAAAGCGAACGAAGGCGAAAGCAAATTCGACCACGTGTTTCAACATTCGTCCTGCTCGAGTGCTTGTCTCCCATTTCGGTAGAGATATATGTCGTGCAAAAGCACAAACCAAACACAAACGGTGTATTTTTATACCTGTTCTGTCCAAGAAGTCACTGTGTTTGTGGAAGAGAAGCTAAGCGTGCTTTCTCTTCAAAGCCAAGTATGCAACGCGAGACAATTTTGACCAATTCTGAACGTAACTTTCGGCTTTGTTGAATTGATCTTGTCCACAGATTTCGTCTACGTTTGAACGTTTCAACTCGTCAAAACTCTATCTGAATTAAAACAGAAGCAATGTTAGCTATCTACAAAGGTTTTTAATGCTTTTTAAACGAAATACGCTTGGTATTTGCGCAAGAGTTTTCGCAAAGGCAAAGTGAAATTATTCATGCATTCGACACGAATCTTACAATTTGTCCTGTTCGTCTCGCTTTTAAGTTGAGATGTAAGTGGTATAATTGCACAAAACAAACACGAAACAAAGACTTAATTACCTGCTTGTTTAACCAAGTTAAATGTAATCTGCATTCTTGCTTTCTTTGAGGAATTTAAATTAGACGTCGCATTGAATATTTTGTACGCAGCTTTCGTCGACGTTTAAACTGCTTTTAACTTGTAAAAACTCCATCTAAAATAAAACATAAGCAACGTTAGCTATATACGAACGTTTTTAAAGCTTCTGTCAACGAAATACGCTTGATATTTGAGCAGGAATTTCACCAAATCGAAGTTAAACGTGAACGGCAAATTCGCCCACGTGTTTAAAGTCGTCTCATAGTCAGCTCGAATAAATACACAAATAAACATGAAATAAAGAGTATTTTACCTGTTCGTTTCACTAATAAGTGTAGCAGAGAAAGCTAATCAGACTTTCGCTTCAAAGACGAGATAAATTGAGCAATTTCGGCCATAATTTTCGTCTCCAACGGCTTCGAACAACTTCGCCAGAATAGAATGCTGCCTTTGTCCAGTTGCCCAAATTTTATCCAAAGCACAGAATTTCATATTTTCCGGCTGCCTCGTGTAAGAAAATGCAGCCACGCTATTGGCTAAAGCAAGACGCACTGACAAGCTCGACTATGGCTCTGATTGGCCAATCCGAGGTACTTTAAATAATTGATAAACTCTCTCGGAATCTTTTTATAACCCGGAATGAGAAAAGCCGGAATCTGTAAAACCTGCAATGAAAAAGCCGGAATCTGTAAAACCGGGAATGAGAAAAGCTGTAATCCGTAAAACCGGAAAAGAGAAAAGCTGTAAATTGCCCAATCTTTAAACTCGGAATCGAAAAACCCCCGAATCTTTAAATAAACTCGGAATGGAAAACCCCCCATCTTTAAAACCTGGAATGGAAAAAAAACCAAATCTTTAAATTTGGAATCGACAAACCCCCGAATCTTTAAACTTGGAATCGACAACCCCCGAATCTTTAATTAAACTTGGAATCCAGAAACCCCCAAATCTTTGAACTTTAATCTTTAACCTGGAATGGAAAAAAACCCAAAAAAGCCGGAATCTGTAAAACCGGGAATGAGAAAAGCTGTAATCCGTAAAACCGGAAAAGAGAAAAGCTGTAAATTGCCCAATCTTTAAACTCGGAATCGAAAAACCCCCGAATCTTTAAATAAACTCGGAATGGAAAACCCCCCGAATCTTTGAACTTGGAATGGAGAAACCCCCGAATCTTTAAACTTGGAATCAAAAACCCCCGAATCTTTAAAACCTGGAATGGAAAAAAAACCAAATCTTTAAATTTGGAATCGACAAACCCCCGAATCTTTAAACTTGGAATCGACAACCCCCGAATCTTTAATTAAACTTGGAATCCAGAAACCCCCAAATCTTTGAACTTTAATCTTTAAACCCCGAATCTTTAAACTTGCAAGATTCAGGGGAATCTTTAAAACCTGGAATGGAAAAAGCCCCGAATCTTTAAACTTGGTATCGACAAACCCCTGAATCTTTACAGTGAAAATACAAAAAGTGTCCCACTTCCGCAGTTTGTAAGATTCAGGGGAATCTTTAAAACCTGGAATGGAAAAAGCCCCGAATCTTTAAACTTGGTATCGACAAACCCCTGAATCTTTACAGTGAAAATACAAAAAGTGTCCCACTTCCGCAGTTTGT